GACGCAGGGTCTGCTGTGAGCTACCTGGCCAGCCCAGCCAGAGACCTTGTGCCCTGGGGTGAGCTGGAGATGGGGGTGACTTCTCTCTTTGCAGCTGCCACCTCCTGAAGGGCCTTTTGGGGGTTGGAAAGTACCCCCAGCAAAGTTCATTCCCTGGCATCTTCCCTCCCCCTCCCCCATCCCTCTGCCCCCTTTTGTCCCCTCCGTGTTACATTCCACAGAGGAAAGTGATCCCTCACTCAAGGCCTGAGGATTACAGGCTGGAGAGAAGCCTGCGTTGCCCTGGGAACGCTCACTTAGTGCTTTCCCACCGGTGCCCTCGTCCTCCCACCAAACGCCAGAGTAGGGGGATGATCCTGGCACACCCCAGCCTGAGGGAGCAGCAGGGCTGCTGGGGTTGGGGGGCTGGTCCGTCCCTCCCTCCCTCCCTGGGCGGTCAGTGAGTCCAGGGTGGGGGGTAACGGTGTTGAGCTTCTAGAGGGCCCTTTCAGGAGGTGGCTAGGGGCTAGGCCCTGGGGTTTCCACATGCCTGAGCTCCTCTGCCCCCTCACTTCTGCCCTGACCCCCCTTCCCAGGCTGAAGCACCCCCATCCCTACTAAGCTGGGGATTTCCGCAGGCTGAGCCAACCGCCTGATCCTAATTATGGCGCCTTCATCCTGTTGGGGTTAAGCTCCCAGTGGCCTTCCATGCCCCCACGCCAGAGGCCAGGCGTGGGGTCACGCCTGCTGAGCCCCCTCTGGGAAGGACTGATAGCCAGTATTCTCCCTGAAGGCCCAGGGGGTGGGGAGGCAGCTTGTCCTGGGGGTCTGGGCGGACCAGTTAAGATGTCCAGGGAATGCTGGGGGAGAGAGGGCTGTTTCTCTGGTGAGCCCTCCGGGCAGCAGGGAGGCCTCAGGGGCTGACCTCTGGAGTGCAGGGAGATCTGAAGATGGAATCTCCCAGAGGCCTCCTTCTCAACCCTGGCTTCATGTTGAGTCATTTAGAAAGATTTTGAAAATACCTATACCTCGGTCCCACTCCTACTGATATTGATTTCATCAGCCAGTGCCGGGGCAAGCATCGGTATTTAAAACATTCTCCCCAGGTGATTCTTGCATACAGTCAGTTGAGAATCACGGCTCTATCGAACACCGCATGGTACCATCAAGGAGACTGGCGCTCAGCCAGCAGAAGGCCCTTGAAGGAGGTCACTCTACTTGTTGGGCAAGGCTGGATTGGAATTTGGCGCTTCTAACCCAATGGCAGGCCACTTCCTTTTGGCCTCCTCTGTCCCCCAGAGGCTTGCCAGGTGTTCCACTCATTTCATCATTTGGGCACTTAGGAACCACGTGACCCGGAGCAGGTTGCTTAACCTTGCTGTACCTGGTTTCTCTGTTGTGATAATAGGCCCTGGTGATAAGATTTGAATGAGATGATGCCTATTGGCCTGCAGCACTTGGGGAAGGGTAGCCATTGTCCTTTTGCCTTCTGCCTGGGGCCAGGGCAGGGTCTGAGCAGAGGCCTCCTTGGTCACCCTGCTCATCAGGCAGGTGCAACCTTCAGAGCTCACGCTGTTCTCAGGGGGAGTGAGGAGGGGCTGCTCTAAGGCAGAATGAGGAGTGGGCATCCTGGATGTTCCCTGGGCCCTGAGAGGGAGTTAGGAGGTGCAGGGAAAGTGCTGGAAAGAATGGCTCCTTCACCCACGGGACCTCACCTCACGCCCCTCCTGTTGTTGGGTGTCTCTGGTCTGGGTTCTGCAGCTACAGAAATGGCCACCAGGTGTCACCCTTGGCTCATACTTGAAGTGAACGCAGCGCAGAAAAAGAAACAGGAGTTGGGTGGAAAAAAGGTGGGGATGGGATGCCCCTCCAGGGAGTGGGTGAGCCTGGAGAGGACCCCAGGCTGCTGAGGTGGCTGTTAATTTCTGAAGGAAGGTGTTCTGCAAAGGTTCATCGGTCTGCCTTCAGAATTCTCCTTCCCATGCTCACGGCAAATCACAGTTCAACAGGTTCTTTATGGGGCACCTGCTGCACAGAGGAGTTAAGAATCTTACTGAACACCTACTATGTGCCAGACCCTGTACACACAGTAGGCCATTCAATATGTACAACAACTCTGTATAGGGTTGTTTATGTATAGAGTATGCTTATGAGTCCCATGTTACAGATGGGGAAACCAAGGCTCATACTGGTTATGTCTTGGGCCCAAGGTAGCCCAGCTGGAAAAGGATTGAGTCCTTGTGGAGCCTAAATTCTTTCTCCTACACCAGGTTAGCTTCCAGAGAGTTCTAGGATAGGAAACCTCCAATAGGTTTCGCACCAGGTTAAGAGAGGATATGGCAGGTGGCAACCCTGCCTGGCTGTGCCAGTCAGGAGCTAGTGAGGAGCTCAGACAGGCCACGCTGCCAGCGGGCAGAGGAGGGTGCTGCGCTCACTGGGGTGGCTGGAAGTGGGTTTGGGTGCATGCTGGGTGTTGGGCATGGGCAGGCTGCAGACGCAGCAGCAATGAGAGGCTCCCTCCACCTGCCTATATGCTCCTCTGAGCAAACTCCCCACCCAGAGTTATTTCAGTTTGCTCACCTGTCAGTTCTAGGGGTGGACTTTGTTCATTCAACACTCTGTCTCTGTCCCTGCCTCCTGCCCCCTGCCCCCTGCCAGGCTCTGAGCTGACCATTTCTCAGGACAGATACTAAGATGAACAAGACAAGCCATCCCCCATGTGCAACCACCCCACCATAAGCCTAGACCAGTGGTCTCCAAAGTTTTTTTGATCGTGCTCTGTAGCAATAAAAAAATTGTTAAGCATGCACCTGTAACATAAGCATAGTTTCATATTAAGACACACTCACACTAAATGAAAAAGGGATGAAATGAAAACACCCACCGACGTCCTAATATTTTCCTCCTGTACGTCTGTACCCGTGCACACACACTTTAGACCCAGCTGCTCCAGGAGATGAGAGGGTCGAGTCAGTCCAATTCCATTCAGGATGGACTATGGTCAGTGTTCCAGAACATCCTTGCCCACCTCTTCATGCTCTAGCAAGGGAAGGGAGAAACTTCAGGGGCAGCAGGTGGGAGTGTGGGCAGACAGGAAGCATAAGCAGGGCTATGTCTGGGGAGGGACCCAGATGATTTGGACAAGAAGGAGGTTTTTGTTTTAGACCCTAATGCTACAAGTTTTGTGATTACTTTTTAAACTGTCTCAGGATATATAGAACCAGGACATTATGTCCCCAGTAGAATCTGATTTCATGTGCTTTAGGTAATTCTAGTCCATTTCCAACAGTTTACAAGGTCCCCCCCCCCCGTCCTGGAAGTTGGGGAGCATACACACATTTGGGACAGGAAGGACAGGGCCCCACTGGGGAGGCACTTAAGTGCTCCTTCCTCAGGGGCTTCCTCCTCCGCTGCCCCTTCTGGGTTGGAGGGCCCTGCAACCCTGTGCCTGGGCACGTCCTCACGCAGGGTGCAGCACCTGGGGCCTCCATGAATATGGGTTGCAGAAGAGGAGGGGAAGAAGCTGCGTCTGGGATACAGAAGAGAGCCCCTCTACTAGCTCCCCTTACTCAGGAAAGTCTCAAGAGAAGCCCCTTCCCCCCAACCCTGGCAGGGCGCTGAAGAAGGACCAAATGGCTTGTGAAGGCATATGCCTGCCCCCAAGGGTGGCTGCCAGGGCGGCGGCCATGATGGCCGGCCCGGTGTGGGTGCCTTTGTGCGCCGTGACTGGGTGTCTGTTTCTGTAGTCACTGGGCGCTTGTTCTGTGGGGCGAGGGGTGTGGGGGTGGGAGCACAGCCTGTGGCTAAGCATGTACGTGAGGCTGGGCACGAACAGCCTCACCCACCAGCCCTAGTCCTGCCAGGTACAACCAGCTGCTGCGGCCAGCCGCCAGCCGCCTCCTCCCTTCCCTGGGCATGGCCAGGCCGGGGGGCAAATGACTTGGCGGGCACCTCCCCTCGCTTGGACCCACTGGGGCAGAGCCGGCTCACCTGCGGCCCAGGCAGGAATCCCAGCTAGGTGGGTGCTCTGCCAACCCCCCTGCCCCACTCCTCACCAGGGGGATGGGAGGGGTGAGGCAAAGGAGGGGGCACAGGGCAGAGACAGGCCCCTCTCCCCTCCCAGACTGTGGATGGGTAGAGCGGGGCAAAGGGGGCTGAAGGAAGGGGGCATTCGTCTGTTTAGGGCCAGGAAATGATTTCCATGCAAATGAGATGCAAACTCCTTAATGAGTTTGCAATTAGGAGTCCAGGCTGCCAGGCCCGGCAGCGCCCGCGGGTTTTATGAATGGGCCTGCGTGGGGTGGGGGGGCGGCGCGCCGGGCCCGCCCCCACGTTTCCCCGCCGCTGAGCCCGCGACATGCCGCGCCGCACGTTGCTGCCTCCCGGCCCCGCCACGACCTGGCCCGCCGCCAGCGAGTCAGCTGCTCCTGACGGCGCGGGAGGCTGCCGGCCAGAGTCCTCGCCACGCCGCTGGCCGGCGACGCGTCGGGCCGACGACACGCCCCCGGGGGCCCGGCAGGGGCTCTAGCCTCCGACGCCCCTTTCCCGGTGATTGGAATGGTTTCCTGAAGCAGGAGGCAGTGAATGAAGTTAGCCTTCGGCCCTGTTTCCCTTAGGATGAGCTGCCCAGGGAGCCCACTGACTCAGAATGGGGACCCTAACTTGGGGAGGGGGGCACTGACCTTGAGAGGGATGAAATTATCCGTCAGAGGAGAGTTCCCATTCCAGAGCCCCCTGCACCTCCCCAGTCCTTCTCAGGCCAGTTCCCACCTGCCTAACCTCAAAAGGCCTGTTCTGCCCACTCCAGGGCACCTGCTTTTTTCCTGCAGGGCCACCCCAGTCTGCTCCAGGCCTTCGTCTGGCCTGGGGCCAAAGACTGCCGCTCCTGTGTGTGTGGGTTCACTCAGATCAGCTCTGGTCTGGAAAGAGACTCACCAGGATTTGAGTATTTGAGCCCTATTAATCCACAGGCCCTAACCCCTCCCCTCCCCCACTGCTTTCAGAGTAAATTAACTAATTACCTCCAATTAAAGCAGGATGCTCTCTGTTCTCTCCTGGGCCTCGATCTCCGCCCCTGGGAGTCCTCTTCACCCTGGCTGGGTCTGGAACGGGGCCTGGCCAGGAAGGTGGAAGTCAGTGTATCAGTGAGTGGAGTGTTGCAGGCAGCTAGGCCCTCGACCTTCCTGGGGCTCTGGGCACTTGGGTCCCTGTGGGGCCTGAGAAGACTGGGAGCAGGGGCTGCCTATGGAAGGCAAAGGGCCTGTGCAGATGCTGATGGCCTGAGGGTGACCCTCCTCAGGAGAAGCAGCTTGAGGGGCATGTCCTAGAAGCTGCCAGTCCCTGGTGGCACCTGCTGCCTCCCTCGCCTAGCACGCTGGGAGAGACTCCAGATGCCTGCGGGTCCATCCAATTCCTCCACTTTCCTCCACTTTTCCCAGCTCTTCCTGCTGCAGCAGTGAGAACCCCTTCATTCTTTTCCTCCTGCCCCTTGGTGGCCCTGAGGCACAGGCCCTAGTGCTACACAGCCCACAAGGCCCTGGCCCCGCCCTGGCACTGCCCTGGCCCCACGTGTGAGACGTGATGGGGAGGATGCCTGGCAGCCCGAGGCAGGGTGATGGGTTGTTGACCCGGGTCTCACCTCTCAGCTAGCTGGCCTCTCCTGAGCCAGGGCAGTACCACACCAGGCTGTGACTCAGGCCCCTACCCCACCTTGAGCCCCACCATGCCAGGGACCTGGGCTTGGACCATCCTTATGTATGTGGGGTGGGGGTGGGGGCAAAAATTTGTCAATTGCAGGCTTCTGTCTGGGGTTACTTTTTTTCTCAGCCCTGAGGAGCCAGGCCATGACTAGAAGGTTCAGGACTTCCAGCCCCGGCTGTTCCTCCCAGCTCACACCCCAATAGAGACTGACAGTCAGGGCCCCCTGACAAGGCACAGCAGCCATCAGAGTTGGTGAGTGTGTGAACCATTCAGGGAGTGGCTCTGCAACCAGTAAGGGCTGCCCCTGGGGGGTCCTGAGCCCCCATCTGCCAGCTTGGCTTGCCCTTCTCTGCCCACTGAAAGCTGGCTCAAAAACCCACCTCCAAGAAGGCTTCAGCATGCCTCTCTTATTTGTGGCAGTCCAGCCACCGCTCTCAGTTGGCTCCCGGTTGTCTCTACCTCTTGTCCCTTTCTGTAGACGCTCTTTGAGTCTGCAGGACTCTGTTCTTTCCTGCACTTCCCAGTGGCCAGCAGAGGGCGCCTCCAAAAAGACTGAGGCACCAGGGAGGAAACGGGAGAATCCGCTTCCCTGGATCCAGGGACAGTCCGTTTATGTGAAATGAAACTGACCCAGGACGCCTTCCTTCCTGGGGCTCTAGACTTAACCTGTCAGCAGAGGACTAGAGGTTAGATCACAGGCTGAACTCAGGTGACTGCCTTAGAAGTGAACCCAGGATGAGGGAGCTGCCCCCTCCCAACAGCCGGAATGGGGAAGGGGCAGTGGAGGTCGCCAGCTTTCCTCCCTTGACCCTGGGAGATGGGTTGGGAGGGGCTGCACAGAATAGCTGGTGTCCCACCCTCTAGGAGGGGCTGCTGTGGACATCTGGGCAACATCTGGATTCCTGGCAGGACAGGGAACTTGTCTATTTGAGATCCTCCAGGGATATACCATCCACCCCTTGGTGGCCCCTCAGCACTACATTCCTGGGGAGCTCTTTACAAACAGGTGTATAGGACCCAGCCCCGTAATGTGGGTGAATTCATGCCAATCTAGGAGGGTCCTGACATACGTCCTTCGGATGTGGCCTAGGGGCCTGGGCAGCAGCCTGCTCTTCTGGGCTATTCCACCTTTCCGCCTCCTGCCCTCCTGTCGGAGTGCGCACGGTGAGATGCTTGTCTTCCCTGTGTGGAAATGCTGGGAAATAGGAGGCTCTGGTGTCCATCCTCTCCATTCCCCTTCCTCCAGGTGAGTAAGAGAGAAGGGGAGTGAGGGTAGCTTTTAGGGACCCCATTGCATGGAGGAGGAGTGGAGAAGGGCTTGCTTTTGGGTCATCTCACACAAAAGCCGGGAAATGTCATTGGGACTGGAGGAGGGGAGAGAGGACAACAGGAGTGGTTCTTTCTTGGGTTTGGGTTCTGGGTTTTCGGGAAGATACAACACGGAGAAAAACCCTCGTGGTCGGCTGGGCTCCAGGACGCCGGGGCAGGGAGCAGGGGGACGGCCGTAATGGCCTCACAAAAGGGAGCAATGGCGAGCAGGAAAGGAGCGGGGGAAGCGTCGCGCCCACCCGGGCTCTCGCGCAGCCCCTCTCCCCCAGCTCTCCCCGGCCCGGCCCGCCGCGGCCCCTCCTCCAGACCTGGGCGCCGCCTCCCCCTCCCCTCCCCTCCCCCTCCCCCTCCCACCCGGCGCTGCAGCTGCTGCCGACGGACCATTCTGCACGTAGCGAATGGAGGAGACGCACAAGGGACGCCTCAAGTGCGCGCGCGCGGGAGCCAGAGCTGTGCGGGCGGGGGAGCGGCTGCGGGCGCGCGTGCGCGTGCGGCGCCGACCCAGGGAGCGCGCGCGGAGCGCCGGAGTCCGCGGCTCTTCTGCGCGCCGAAGTTGGGGATGCTGGGCTTTGGGGTCCCCACTGCTCCAAGGCCTTCCCGTGGCGCTCTGCCCGCCTTCCAGCGAACGTGGCTTCTGCCTGGGCCCCTTTTCATTCCACCCCAACAGCACGGTCCTTTGTGCGTAGTAGGCGCTTCATGATGACTAGGTGCTGAAATGAATTGGTTCCCTTGCCCTCGTCTTCGTCTGGGTCACTGATCTACTGTCAGCTAGGTCCTGGGCTGGGGTCACAAAGGGCTGCAAACTCGGGTGGGAGGTGGGGCGGGCGGCGCGGGGCGGGGGGGTGGGGGAGAGTCGATGACACTAGATTCATGACCCTATAGTCCCACCTTTGCCCAGGAGCTCTGAGCCTGGAGGCCCTCAGGGGCCCACCTCTCTCTGCCTGAATCTGACAGGCCCCATTAGGGCTCTAGAGGGCCTTAACAATTGGCTGTCAAGGAAAAACATAGGAGTGCATTGACCTTTATCTCCTCTTGGATGGGATACTCCCAAGGAAGTGCCTTTCCCTGCTGCCTCCTCCCTCTGCATGTCACCTGCACAACTCCCATTCCCTCCGGTGTCCAGGACAGGACCAGGCTGGCACAGGTATGGTATGGTGAACACAGAGTCTTTCCTGAGATAACCAGGGAGTGTAGGGAGGCCATGCCAGGCTATGGCAGGCAGTACTCACCTTGGAGTTATTTCCTGAGTCCCAGAGGCACCCTCCCCACTGCCTGAGCCCTGGATCTCAGGGGCTGGTCAGTGGGTGGCCTGGGGTCTGTCCCTTCCTTCCCTAGATGGCCCAGGTTGGCACCTCATTCCACCCTTCCTGACACTCAGAGGCAGGGATGAGGCCTCTCCTGGCTATTCAGGCTCTGGGCAAGGCCCTACAAAGGGATGTCTGAATAGGATTGGTGGCCTTTAGGACATCATGTGGTGGTTGGCAGTGAGTTGAACAGGTCTGGTTAGTGGCATGTGGGAGTGAAGGTGGCTGAGGGTTCTTTGTCACATGTTAACTTGACCTTGCCCAAGTCTGATCTCTCTGAGCCTCAGTTTCCTGTCTAATGGGAGTGTAGTATTCACCCAGTGGGGCCATTGAGGATTAAAATGTAGTCTGCGTATAACATGCCTCGTGTATTGGAGACAGATGCTTAGTAAGAGCTAAACCTTTTTTTTTTTTTATTATTGTGTGTGGACTGGCTGAAAGGCTGAGGATGCTTCCCTCAGCTGTGTTTCCACAGATAGAGTGAATTCAAATCCCAGAGTTGGCAGCTTCTTGGAATTTGGAGGTGGGTTTTGAGGAAACTGTAGAGAAACCAGTAATATGTCATACTTCTGTCATCATTCAAGAATGAACCATTTCACACTAGTTTTCCAGACATTAATATCTGAGACCTTAAAAAGAGATATTTTGGATGGAAATCACTAGTGGCTATTACACACTTTCCTGCCTTCTTAATCAGAGGTTGCAGAACATGTGAGTCTTTATGATTCAGAGCTGTGGTTACAAGTGTCCATCACTATCCTGGCTGTAATACAGTGAGAATCCAGGGTCTTGTTCAGCCCCACACTAAAGGCCCATTCTATGATGGCTACATTTTAATAGTTGATGTGTCTACTTGTTATAGTTCTTCATCAACTCCCTCCTATTAGTTGTCATTTCCACTACCATCACCTTGCCTGCCTCAGGCTGACCACCCCACCTTGTTCTTGTTGACTTGTTTCTGTTCTGCTGTGGGCTGAGAAGTCAGAAAATTGCATGTTAGAAGATGTGAAAAACAACAAGATCTTTTGAATTTGATTATATTAAAATTCATCTGGAAAAATAAACATGCAAAAAGAGCTTGGAAAATTCTGAAAAAGAGGGATTATAAGGGGCAACTAGAGCTACTAAAATGTTGTATAAAGCTCCAGTAATAAAACAGTTGAGTCCTGGCACAAGAACAGACAGACAGATCAAAGGAACAGTAGAGTGTCCAGACAGACACCGTGAACAAATGGAAATTGAATATATGATAAATTGACATTTTAGATCAGAGGAGAAAAGATGAATTATTCAATCAAATTGGAAAACTGGCTAGCTGTTTAGGAAAAATAAAATAAAATCAGTTCTCTATTCCTTATTCTGAAATAAGTCCCGGATGGATGAAATATTTAAAAGTGAAAAGGAAATCATAAAATTACTAGAAGAAAACATTAATAAAAGATTTTAAATGTATATATTCTTGGATTGGGGACTGTATGACACAAAATATGGGAATCACAAAGGGAAAGATTTTTAAAAATTGGCTAAGTAAAAATTTTAAATCCTGAAGTCTAAAGGCAAATAATAAACCAGAAGAAATATTTTCAAGATATATGACAGATGAGTTCTTAGAAGTCAATAAGGAAAAGAAAAACAAATAGAAAAATGGGCAAAGCACATGAACCAAAAAGGGACTACTAGGGGCTGGTCCCATGGCCTGGTGGTTCAGTTTGGTGCACTCTGCTTTGGCAGTCCTGAGTTTGGTTCCCGGGCACGGACCTACACTACTCGTTGGCGGCCATGCTGTGGTAGCAACCCACATACAAAATACAGGAAGATTGGCACAGTTGTTAGCTCAGCATGAATCTTCCCCACCAAAAAAAAGGAACACTAATGGCTAATAAACAGGTGAAAATGCCTGTCCTAGGTCAAAACACAAGAAATCAAAATTAAGAAATGATAAGATTCTCTATTCCCCAATCTGATTGACAACAACCAAAACGGGTGACCCCTTACTTTGTGGACACAGGCATCCTCAAATTTGGTGGGAAGGCAACTGGACCTGTGAAGGGGGTTGGTGATATACATAAGAAGTATTAACTCATAAATCATTGGCTCAGGGCTTCCGTACCTAGGAATTTATCAGATACACTGTCGCAAATATCAAGGTGTTCAAAGTATCCCTACAAGT